TAAAGTTTTTCTTTATTACCTATTCAAGCCGTCTCCAAGCATTATTAGTCTCAAAGTGGGTTCCTCGTCATCGAATTATGTGTTCCTATTGGCTGTTATATATCCATTACTTTAATTTTGATTAGCCTTGACTAGTGACATTAAATGGCCAATAAAACAATATTTTTGAACAATATTGTTGATATCAGATATTTGTAAAAGAGAAACTAAGTAAATGTTTTAAAGTTTAAAATTGAATATTAGTTATTAGCAAGTTCAGACTAGCCAGAAGAGTTTTAGCAAATTTGATAATGACCAAATTGCATATGTTGATCTCGTTTCAGTATGAAAGGAGGGTTGGCATGTTGATTGGAGATCATTGTTCAGTGATATGCAGTGAACATATCTCAATTTAGCCAGCAAAACTCTTTTGGGGATAGGTAAAAAAACTGTATGATTAGTTAATGCAAATAAACTTTTATTGTCTTAATTTTGTAAACAAAGAATCGAGATATGGCATCAGTCTGCTAATAGCTCCTGTGGAGTGTTTGGTGGGGGCTGTTTACAGTCCTCTTGCATTGTGAATGACTGAACCTTACTTTATGATGAAATATAAGAGAGAAAAAATTATATACTCTGTAGCCGTCTTATTTCCTTAAAAGTGTCTGTCATACAGTTTTTAAAGATTTAAGGCTATTTTTATGTCCAAGTTTTTGGTAATCATGAGAAAAGTTGCCATAATATTGGCCTAGTTTCAGATTTTACCAAATTTAATTTTCCACCATGATTAATTGTAAGATGTATGATGTAAATATTATTTACAATTCAAAAATTTATTTTAATTTCTTGAAATTTTATTTTTTAGAACTGCTCAACCAGCAACTTTCCAGACTAGTCAAACAGCAACACCTGCAACAGGGTATGCTGTTCAGCATCCAGCAGCTGCAGTTGCTCAGCCTTCCTTTACTGGAACAGCAACTGCTGTTGCAGTAGCAGCAGCATCTCGCACAATTCCAACTGGGTATGAGACTTATCAGCCTACTACAGCACATACAAATACAACCTACCCTTATGCATCTCGTCAACAAGTAAGGTTTCTTGCAGGTTGAACATGTATAAATTCAGTTACCGTATTTTTCAGAATATAAGACGCACCCTTATTTTGAAGACAAACTTTTGGGGAAAAAAAAGCCTACAGTCACATTTGAAAGATTTTTATTGAACAAAAATTCAATTTGATATATTAAAAATTAGTATATATTGTTCTAAACACAAAAGAGCTCAAAACATCAAAATAAGAAAATACCATAAATCAAAAAAAAAGGTTTACTGTTATTTAGTTTGGTTCAAAACCTACAAAATGTTCATTGCTTTCACTGTAATTTATTTTTTTTATTATTCAGGGAGCATTATAAACAGTTATGTTTTT